CTTATGTATGCTGCTCCATCCTTCTCTTTGAAAAAGAGGAGGCTGCACTCTGAATCCACCAAACATATTAGCATTCCTGTTAAAAAACCCATCCACACCTCAACCCATTCACTTTCCCACCTATTACAAAATCCATGCCCAATTTTACGCCCAGGATGAATAGTGTGCCATTCTCCTCATGAAGATCACATCCTCTTAAACAACCGAAACATCCTTCTACAAGACTCGCATGTTCTGGTACGAAGCTGCGGGGGAGCGGAGGAAAAATGTGGGAATGGATTAAGCATCACGGACTTAAGAAACGCTTGCATGGTGCAGTTGAACCTTTTGCATCCCATTAACCGAGGACCAATTTCCAAAATGTAGTGCATCTGGTGGTATTCCGTGTTTCTTACCTTATAAGAAACGCAAAGAAAATTCGATTTCAATGGCTACAACAACTTCTAAGGGATCGGTGACCTCCCGTTTTCGGTCACCAATGTCTACATGAAGGCCGGCGTTTGGAATTGTAGGGGTTTAGGATTAGCGGACTCCCCTAAAATTCCTTATGTCTCCTCTCTAGTCTGCTCTCATAGTTTGGATATAGTTTGTCTCTTTGAAACTATGGTGTCTGTTGATATTGTTGTACAAAAGTTACCATCTTTATCCTTCTTAGGTTGTAGTGGTGCGGATGTTGTAGACCTAAGTGGTGGTATGTTTATATGTTGGTTCACTCCGTTGGATTTGGTTCCTGTATTCCGCTCTCAGAATGTGTTTCTCTGTATATTGTTGCAAGGAGATCAGATGAAATAAGGCATGTGATGTTTGTGTATGGTTCGCCTCATATTTCTTTTCGTTCGGAGGTTTGGAATTTGATTACCAATATTCTTGAAGCCATTCCAAATTTTGTCTTGATTGGGGATTTCAACCAAGTAGAATACCTCTAGGATAAATTGGGTGGTAGTTCTTGTATTCCAGGAAGGATGGATTATATTAGCTGGCGTTTGGGGTTAGATTTGGTGGATGTTCCATTATCTGGTCCAAAGTATACTTGGACTAATAATAGAATTGATTCAGAACCGATTTTTGAAAGACTGGATAGAGCCTATGCCTCTTCCTCTTGGTTTCATGATTACCCCGATACAAAAGTTGTACACTAGCTTATCTTGTTTTCGGATCACACAACTATTATTCTCTCGGATACAACTGATTTAGGATATGTAAAGCGTCCTTATAGGGTGGAAAACTGGTGTTTGTTTGCTACCGAGGTTCGTGAAATTGTACACTCTGCTATCTCCTTGTTTTACCTGGGCTCACCGATGTTCTCTTTATCTCGGAAATTCTCTAGCTTGGTGTGTTTCTCGTAAAAAGGCCTGGGGGATGAGAGATTCATTTGGTGTTTGGTAAAATTAAATAGGATGCTTTAGGTGATTCTCATCCCCGTCTCCTTTTTTCCTTGGTGCAGACCCGACGTCGTCAAAATAAGATCTACGGGATGAGAGATTCATTTGGTGTTTGGCAAAAAGATCCTGAGTGCATTGCCTCCTTATCTTTGAACTTTTATAAGGAGCTTTATTCAATCTTAGGTAATGATTCTTCTCAACACTCTGATTAATGGGAGCAATTACAGTTACCGATTCTTTCTTCAACTCAACAATGACTTCTTATGACTCCTTTTTCTGCTAAGGAAATTCAGAAAGCCATTTTTTACATCGACGACAATAAATCTCCTGGACCTGACGGGTTTTCTTCAGCTTTTTTCAAAGCTCACTGGTCCGATGTAGGTTCGTCTGTTGTTTTGGTGGTTCAACACTTCTTTACTCATGGTTATATGCTAAAAGAATGGAATCGTACCTTCCTTGTTTTGCTTCCAAAAGTAGAAAATCCTGAACTAATCTCTCAGTTTTGGCCGATTGGTCTCTGTAATGTGATTTATAATTGTATTGCGAAGTGCCTCACAAGTCGCCTTCGTTTGGTCCTACCTAGTTTGGTGGCTGATTTCCAGAACAATTTTGTTCCGGGTCGTTTTTTATCGGATAACGTGTTGATCGCTCATGAGGTCATTTCCTTTATGAACAATTCAAAGGCCAAGAAGAGGTTTTTTGCAGCTCTTAAGTTGGACATGAATAAAGCCTATGATTGGGTGCATTGGGAGTTTCTATTTTGGGCTCTACAAGCTTATGGTTTTCCTCCTTACTAGATTCATATAATCAGTCAGTGTGTTTCGACAGTCTCTTATCAGGTTCTAATCAATGGTAATTCTTCCCCAGCCTTCCAGCCTCAGTGTGGGCTTCGTCAAGGGGGCCCACTTTCATCATATTTGTTTGTGCTATGTATGGAAGTTCTTACGATGCTCAGGAAGGCCGAGAGGGACTTTTTGATTCGGGGGATTTGTATTTCCAGGGGTGCTCCTTCAATTTCTCATTTGTTTTTCCTGGATGACTCCTTGTTGTTCCTTTAGGTTTCTCCTTCCGCTTATGACAATCTCGTGGCTTTCCTGAATGAGTTTTGCGGACTATCGGGACAGGTGATTAACCTGCAAAAGTCGTTCGTCAAGTTTAGCCCGAACACTCCAGAAGATTATCGGGATTATCTTTCTCGTAGTCTGAAACTTCATTGCAAGCCCTCTCTTGTTTCATATCTGGGGTTACCGGTTGAGTTCAGTCGTAGTAAAGTGGTTGATTTTGGCTTTCTAATTGACAAAGTGGTCAAGCGGCTTTCTGACTTTAAGATTGTTGGTTTGTCTTCTCCTGCTAATTGGTTATAATTAACTCGATATTGGTTTCTTCTTTCAATCATATCCTGTCGGTTTTTAGGGTCCCACCTTCGGTTTATTCTCGCATTGACAATTTGCTGGATTGATTTTGGTGGATATCCAATTCTCAGTCTCGGGGTTTAGTGATGCGTTCAAAGTCTCTTCTTCATTTGCCTAAAGGTCTGGGAGGTTTGAGTATTCGTCGGTAAGAAAGCTTTAACTCGGTGCTTCTCGTTCGGCAGTGCAGGCGTATTCACCAACACCCTTATCTTTTGGTTTCGAGGCTGCTTACTACAAAGTATCCTTCCTTGCGTTCTTTTTAGACTCGAAGGATTCCTCGGGCTTCTTGGAGTTGTCGTAGCCTATTGTTGTGTCTATCCACTCTTGGTCAAGGAATAGCTTGGAAAGTTGGTTCGGGCTCTAAGGTTTGGATACTTGAAGATGACTGGGTCCCGGGGGGGGGTTGTTTTTCGCAACGGTTCTGGTGTGTCGGCATCTCCGACACATGTTTCTTCTATTATTAATCCGCGTTCTTACGCGTGGGATTAGACCTCTATTCATCGGCTTTTTGATACTTCAACGGCGCTTCGCATCCTAGCTATGGATCGCCCTATTCAACCGATGGATGACTTTGTCTACTTGAAAATTTCTAGGGATGGTTCTTTCACTACTAAGTCTACTTATGCTATGTTACTAGGTGATTTAGTGTCTTCAAGGATCTCGGGTACAATTCCAGCCTCTTGGTGGAAGCATTTCAAGGGGTTTCCTATTCTGCCAAAAATTCAGTGTTTTTGCTGGAAATTGCTTCACAATGCTTTGCCTCTTTTTGGGAGTCTGCAGCTTAGGGGTATTTCGATAGATCCAACTTGTGTAATCTGTCACTAGGAACGTGAAACATCAGCCCAGCTATTCCGTGATTGTGTCTTCACTTCCCATCTTTGGGCTTGTGCTCCGTTTGTCGGCTACCCTCCTCTTTTGCATGGGAAACCTTTTACTGATTGGTTCGTTGACACGGTTTCTGAGTTTCGTTTCTCTCGGAATTGGGACGGTTTGACCTCCTTTGTCTCCTTTTGTTGGGCAGTGTGGCTTGTGCGTAACCACAAGATTTTTTGATAAGCAGTGTTGTCTCCTGGAGTGATTTTCCATTTGGTGCAGGAATGGATCTCTAGGAGTGTTTCAGCGCAAGGGTTCAGGTCCCTTATTCTCTTGTTAGGGAGACCTTTTCCCCCTACTTTGGTCGCTTCTGATTTTTGCTTTTTGTAAGGTGACTCCTCCTCTACCTTTGATGTTTGCCTTCTTTTTTATGGAGCTTGGAGTGCTTGTGATCTTAGCACGGGAGCAGGTTGGATTTTTAGGGATGTTTATTCAGATTCTGTGTTGGGTGGTTGTTCGAGAGCCTGTAACGCCTCTTTGGCTCTTCAGTCTGAGTTATAGGCTTGTTTGTGGGCTCTTCAGGCTGCCAGTCGTCGAGGCTTTCGTCGTCTTCTTATCCACTCCGACTGTTTGACTCTTTTTCCCTTCTACGGGATGGTCGTGATGGAGATATTTCTTGCCACTGGTTGCTTCATGATATTCGGTTAACTCTCTTACGACTCTCTGTTTGCAAGCTTTGCAAGGTTCCTCGTCAGTAGGTTGCCCCGCCTCACTGGTTGACTCAGGCTCGTCATCGACAATTGCTTTGTTGGTCCTTTTTTCCTTTTTTTTTTCCTTGTTAGAGCTTCTTGTAAAAAAAAACAGAAAAAAAAAAAAAATTAACATTTGACATTTCAGCAACTGATTATTAGACTTAATATGAAAAAGAATGCTTCTACATCTAGAAAGTTGTTCTACGTCTTTATACTTCTAATTTTTAATATATTTGCTTTTGAGTACATATGAAATGTAAAGTACACCTTAATAATGTTATGAACTAATGACGTTTTAAAATAATAATACACCTACGTCCGAGATGATTACAACACAAAGTTAATTATTAGTGATTTTTTTGCTTATATAATGCCTTACAGTTTCTATTTAGGCTAATATAATAGATTTCATTGATAATTTTTTTTTCAATTTAAATTTATTTTACTAATCAAGGCTGATATATATTATAGCTAATTTGGCTACTAAGCAAAAGAAAATTATAATAACATGATCATTATTGCTGTTTTGATATGATTACATAAATGAAAATACTACTTCGAATTTTCATTTTCCTTGGCTTTTTAAATTTATTTATTTATGTTTTTATTCTATATATATATTTTTTTATTGAAAAGAATCATTTTCCTTACCTTAGTACATGTATTTACTTTATCTAGAAAATCCAATGAAGTACTTGCAAAACCAAAAATAGATCTTTTCACTTAAAAAGATTTTATAAACATAAAAATTTAGAAGGACCACACACTAACATTTTCTAGAGCAAGCATGGTATTTTCTTGTCTTTAGTACTCAAAACACTAAAAAAAAATAAAAAATGTTCACCAACAACAACAAATAAAGAACAAATTTTCCCTCCTAAATCCATATTCTTTTAACGTACGATTATTATTTAAAATCATTTTAATAAATAAAAACATACCATAATGGAGACTCCTAAGATCCAAAATATAATATTCTAAAGTAGTCTAACATTCCAACCGACCCTTAACTATACACAAACTTTACCTTGAGGAAAAGAAGATACCTAAACCTTCCCTGCCAATTAAGAGCAGGAACCTCTCATACCTCAACCTTCTCCTCCTCCTTTCACCTTCCTTCCTTCCCAAAGCATGACTAACATCACACCACCATCCCTACATAACTAAGTCGCGACGTCGCGTAACATCCTTTTTATTCTTATAAACGTTGGCTTAATGCCGAACGTTACCAAATTTCCCACCATTCATTTCTCTACCGCCACCGCCATTCTTTGTCATCAATGCCTTATTACCGCCACGGCCACGTCCACCACCACCACCAACGCCGCACCCACCCGTTGATATGGTGTGCAGCTATAATCTGCACCTTTTGCACGATCATTGTTATTATTTTGGGCATTGTTGTGTTCGTAGGGTACCTTGCCCTACGTCCAAGTATACCCTTTGTTAAAGTTACGTATGCACACCTAGATAAGTTCGAGTATAGTCAAGCCGGTGTCCTTAATACCGAGATGAACATAATTTTTCAGGCCGAAAATGATAATACTGGAGCACGCGCTAGCTTTTCGGATTTTACGTACTACCTCAGCTTCCATGGTATACAAATTGCTAGGTTGAAAAATCTACCTTTCAACGTAGACAAGAATGATAGCGCGATTTTTAACTATGATGTTAAATCGTATTCGATACCATTGGATCCACAACACTCGGCTATAGTAGATCGATCGTTGAAGCAAAATAGAATTTCATTTGAATTAATGGGGGATACAAGAACAAGATGGAGGGTTGGACCAATTAAATCGGTCAAATTCTGGTTGCGTTTGAGTTGCGAGCTCAAGTTTCAGGGTGATGGGAGTTATACTACGGATTCTCATTGTACCTCTAAATCAAAATAAAACAGGTTTTTCCTTTTTTTTTTTTTTTTTTTTTTTTTTTTTTTTTTCTTTCTTAGTTTATTCTTTGAAAATTTGTTAAAAAAAAAAATACAAAAAATTTTAAAGTAGGTTGGTGTAAATTAATGGGTATACTTTTGTGTATACATTTCTTTTCTTAATTTGTTCCATTTAGAATTATGTTACATTGGTTAATTGCTTAGCACTTTTATTTTTATTTTTTTTTCTTTTAATATTTGAAAATGCCTCAATTTTATTTATTTATTTATTAATTTTTACTTTTCTAGGAGTTGTTAGGAGAGGAACAATGATGAAAGTAGGTTGTCATTACCTTTAAATTTCACATTTTCATTATAAGTGATGATAAAGTTTAATTGATAAGAACAATATCAAGCCATATTTTACCACTTGACAAATATAATTCTATTTATGGAGTAGATTTTAACCAGTAAAACACTTCATTTAGTTCCACAATTGACTTTCTTTGTGATATTACTCAACGAATTGCAATAATATCTAAAAAGTAATAAGAATATTCAATTGTAGCAAAGTAATAGTGGTACATCAAAATAATATCTTGTAAAAACCATGACAAAAAACCATGACAAAGTTGCGTGGGACTACGTTCAATTCTTTTAATTTCTTCTTTTAATATTTTGACATGCTTTTATCCTTAGTGCGGCTACTTTATTTGATAAACGGGTAACTTTTATTGATACATCACCATTATTACCTATAAAAATGGCCCCATATTTTTGTAAGGTATTTTTAATTTAAAATTTGTTTTCTTTGTCTTTTTTGTTCATTTAATTATCAAGTCCATTAAAAATAACAAGTTGATGGCAACATTTTTTTAAGGAAAATCATCAAAACGATTATATTAATAAATCTTTCAAAGCAACATTTAAGATGCGAGTAGGAATTACATTATTCTCAACTCTTTGACCGAGTTCCTAAGGTTGAAAATGAGTCATTTCGCATGCTACTCTATTTACTTTTCGCTTGACAAAAGACTCGACACACTATTAAAATCAGAACATAAAGCTAGTATATATCATCTATGATCAAGTGGGAGAAATTGGACCCATTTGACTAACCTCTAATATAACAAGTTTTTTTTTTGACACATAATATAACAAGTTGATGTTAAATTTTTTGTTGTTGTCAAATTTAATTATGTTTAAAATTTTTAGGATAAAGTGTCCGCACATTATGGACACATCACTTGATGACATGCTAATAGTAGGGATGTTAACGAGGCGGGGTAGATTTTGGATTTTCCATCCCCATTCCCGCCTAACGTTCTCATTCCCATCCCCATCCTCATTCCCGTGGCGGGTCCAAAATTCATCCCCATCCCCGCCCCACCCCCCACTTGTATATACACCCCCACCTAATCTCCACCCAAGACCCGCCTAATCACCACCTCCCAAATTCAACAATACTACGTAATATACTAATATAGATTACAATAAAAAAAAACAAATTCATTGTTACTATATTACACCTTTTTTTTTTAAAAAAAAATATAAGTTTATTACAGTATATTATATTTATTAGTTATTTACTACTTTATTTTACTTAATTTTTTTTAATATAAAAGTATATAATTTTATTTTTAAAAATATATAGATATGGTTATAGGGTGGGGATGGGGTGGGTGGGGCGGATCTCCTACTTGACCCGCCCCACTGACATCCCTAACTAATAGACAATAAATTGTGTCTCCCCAACATAAAATAAATCTCGATAATGAAATATACATCACCACCTAATTTGGTTCGATTTGCATATATAATAGATCCAGTAATTTCGTTTTTTTAAGTGCCACATATATATTGACATTTCACGCATGTCGATGCAAAACTTTAACCAATAATATCTTTATTCATCATCAACTATAAAATTATAATAATTGAATATTAATAATCTACTCATTGATACGATTTTAACAAGTACCCACAAGACTATATTTTTTTCTTATGTATAATTCACAAACATTAGTTTAAATATGTTTAATAAATAGTGTCAAAATTCCCAATGGACACTTAAAAAACACGGAGGGAGTAAGTCTTTAAGCCCAACCTAATAGCCTTCTAATCAATCAATTTTAGCATTCCTTGTTAACTCAAACCATTTTCTATAGCCCAAAACATTTTATTATTGCCCATTATCCATATCCAACCCAATAATACTCTCGTAGGGTCCAATGAGAAATGATCGATTCACATCTCATTTGAGACCTAAACACATTGTTATTAAAACCCGATTTAATCTTAGAATCTTAATATTTTACGATTCACGTATGTCATATAATTCGATTTACGATTCTACCCGATTTTATGTATTTCTCTTAACTAGTGAATTCCTTACAAATTTTAGACATGCATATATAGTTTTTAAGTATATATTGTCAATTATTGGTTGCATAATCGGTAAATAACTATTTTCTATTAATAATTAGGTTTCAAACGCATAATTTAAATATATTTAATTCTATTGAAGTACAATGTCTTTGATTATGCATGTCGGTAGAATCTTACGATTCTACGATTCAATTTTACGATTCGATTCTGAGAGCCCCTTCCAATTCAAAGTAGAATCCCGATTTTAACAACTTTGCCTAAACAGATATAAACTAGATGAAGCCCGTGCGATGCACAGTGGTTTATATTTTTTTTAAACAAATGTTTATTTTTATATGTATGTGATAAAAATTGTTATTTTATTTGTTATACATAGTATATCATTTAATATTTTTATTTTTAAATAAATTGTGAATTTCATGTCCTTCGTTATATATTTTGATAAAATTCCTAATATCAAAGATAATAATTTATATTTAATTAATTTAAATTTTAAAATCTCATTCGCCAATTTTTCTTATGTGGAATTTGAATTATTTAATTTTAAAAGAAATGATAAATCTTTTATTTAATTGGCTATAACTAAAATTTATAATCCTACATGGCGCGTTAAGAAATTTTAATCCTACGTGGCTCTCTATAAACTCGAGAAAAAACTCCCCTTTATATATATATAACACTAATTAATTGAGTAACCAATATAACACTGACCAAGTGACACCTATAGCACTCCCGAAGTAACTCTTATAATAGTTGGTGACACGGTTTGACTAGCTGCATATAAAAGTTTGTGATTAAATATATTATAAATGGATCTTATTTTCAAGAAATTTTTAGAATGAATTTGATGATGGAGATAGAATTGAGTTATAGGATATTTATAAAAATTTATGATTAATTTTGTATGTATGAAATATTAGAATTCTAACAATAAGAAAACCCTATACAACAATTTTATCTTAAAAAATCTATCCAAAAATCGCTTACTTAGCATCATAAGTGTCACAATAATACCTATTTATCACCTACGTGGCGCGACACTTAACGAAAAAACAGGAATGCCAAGTGTCGCTGTCTCGTGGCCTGGCTGCGAGACCAACTTTATTTATTAGTGATATGATATGATATGATATGATAGTTTTGTGCCCGGACGATACCCAGATTGTTGATAAAATTTTAAGATAAACTTTTGGCTTGAATGTTAAATATGGACATATAATCCTTTTTAATAATGCAAGATATTAAGACATAGGATATCATATAATAATATACTTTTTGTAGTTTTGTTTGTAAATAGATATCTATGTAATTATTGTTATTAAACTTAATCGAAACTCTTTTTACCAAACCAAAATTATTTTTATTGATTAAAACTTATTTAATTTATTGGTTCTCTATTTTTTTTATTGTAATTAAATATATAATAAATGGATCTTATTTTAAGGAACTTTTTGAAACGAATTTTATGATGGAAACAAACCCGAGTTATACGATATTTATTAAAAACTATGATTAATTTTGTATATATGAAATATTAAAAGTATAGTGATAATAAAACTTTATACAATAATTTTGTCTTAAAAAAAAATCTATCCAAGAATCGCTTACTTAGCATCATATGTGTCGCAATAATACATATTTGTTGTCTATGTGGCGTGACACTTGGCGAAAAACTGGAATGCTAAGTGTCCCTATCTTGTGGCCTGACTGCGAGACTGTAATACTCTGTATATTAATAATATATATATATATATTATTTTATTTATTTTTTATAAATCAAACTAATTCATTTCATTTTAAAAGAAATTAATTATTTATATATTATATAAGTGTGTATAAAATAATATGAGTCATTAATTGAGGCAATAAAAGTGTTTTGAATTGGTCATCTTATTTAAATAGTTGGATCAACTTGTTGGGAAATTAAGGGCACTTAAGAGCCCAACAAGTTGACCCAAAGGAAGAAGTTAAGGGGAAATAGGATTTAGTAATGACAGTCTTGTAATTATGAGTTTTTGTTTTAAAAGGGGGGTATAAATACTTTAAAACCTCAAGGTTTTTCACTCAAAAATCATAATTGTCAGATTTCACAAAAAATCCCAAAAGTTTTCTCTTTATTTTCTCTCTCCTTTTTCTCTTTCTTTTTCCTCTCTTTTCTCTCTCTCTCTCTCTCTCTCTCTCTCTCTCTCTCTCCCCCTCTCTCTCTCCTCTTCCCCTCTCCACCGGCGACCACCAACGACGGTCGCCGACCACCGACGGCGGTCGCCGGCGGCCGGCCTCCTTCTCTCTTCTTTTTGGTGTTGGTTCGATATTATTATTAAAAAAAACTCTTCTCTCCCTAATTTAATTCTATTGTTTTGTTATTTTTAAAGCATGATTTTGATTGTGTTTTTGTATTAATTTTGGGTATTTGATGCTGTTAAATTATTCATATAATTTTCAGATTTTAATTCAATAAAAAACCCTAATTTACAAACCCTAGTATTGGGAATCTATTGTTTATGGTTAGGGTTTGATCCTAGGTTGTTGTTATTGTTTAATTAATGGTTAAACATGGTTTTAACGAGTTAAAAGCCCTCAAATTAATGCTTGAGTTTATTTATGCATACTACTTTTTAATTATTGAGTTAGGGTTTGATTACCCATAAAAGGGAAAAAGGTTTTAATGATTAAATATGATTTCCTAGTCTATTAGTGATGTTTTATATTAAATAAGTATGCTGGAATTTTATTTAAGTCATAAAAACTAAGTCTTTTTGAAAGGATTTGGAGTACCCACTTAAAGAAAAGGTTTTATGGCTTTTATGTCATTAAATTGGGTTGATTAGTAAGGTCTAAAGTATATTATAGTTGCTTGAAATAGCGAAAATAGTGGATTAATTATAGTTATGTATTCTTATTTGTAGGAAGCTTCGAGCTAGGTGATTTCTAGCGAGTGTCGCCGAGTTTTGGCATTATTCAAGGTACGTATGTGCACAAGAATATTTGTGTATGCATAGTATCATGCTAGGATTGTAAAGTATGATTTAAGTGATGAATTAATAGCATGTTTGGTTGATTATATGCTTGGAATTGATTGGTTGAGCATGAATTGTTATGCAAGCATGTGAATATGTTATTTGAGGCATGATACAAGTTGAATATGTATGA